TCAAGTCCATTGTATTCAGAAGAAAACGCGGAGCAGTACAACAATTCTTTATGAAAAAATTCATCTATAAACACGCAAATTGAAAAAGGTCGGTCGATGCGTTCGACCACTGTTAATATAAATCCCCTTTGGCAAACGTCCAATCAGATCCTTGGGTTAGTCAGTTCCCATCGGATCTTTATGCAGAACATGACCTTTCTGCCTAAGGCTTCTTCATGTTCTCACCGACACACAAAGCCGCCCACCGCAGTCGGGCCCGGCCGCCAAGGTGGCACCGACCGGGCGTAACGAGTGGCAGCTAGAATCACGAGTAATCCATCTTGGCGAACGCAACACTCCCCCTATGTCCGTGTCCAGCGCCTAGCGCATGTCAGACAGCTGTCATCAACGATATGATGGATGGTCTTACAACTCGGCTAACTCCTCGACCAACCCCACGCGTTTCGCGCCGTTCAGCAAGTGGTCGGCGAACGACTGTACGAGGGATGGAATCTCCCTGTACATCGCTGGGAGCTGATCCCAGCTTGATTCGTGGCTTTCCAAGCCTTTCCATTGAATGAGCAATTCCCACTGATTAGAATCAGGGTTGCGTCGCTCGTCTTCGATTTTTCCAACGGCAAGCGTTGTTCCTTGCTCGCTGATGAGGTGTTCTATGACAGATGAGTACGGTAGATATTCGACCACTCCGTAAGGTCCTGTCCACGTGACCAGTAGCTTCGGGTAGTGATTGTTTTCATCGACTCTTGACCAGAATACAAAATCTCATTCAGTGACTTGCATCTCCACTTGGTTCGCTTTCTCGCGCATTCACTTGTTTTCAGCGTCTCGACGTCGGTTGATAATTGATGAAGAAAAGATTTCCTGCAGACTCCTTCGTAGGCAGTCTATTGCAGTTTGCATATCCTTGCGTTCCCACTTGATCGTGTTGAATCCTCATTTTGACAAGTTGGTATTGACTTTGCCTACAGTGGCAGAGAGGGGTGTCGTGGGCTCCAGGCCGGTGAAGCACTCCATTGGACTCATGTGGTCCAACATCGCGACAGGCGTTTGGTTGATATTGGCTTGGACAAGTGGTAGCAAGTAGTCCCATTCGGTTTCTTTGAGTCTGGTTTCGCGCAGCATATTCGCATGAGTCCCAGGATGTCGCGGTTGACACGTTCGACTTGTGCCATTGCGCCATGGGCAATACGCAAGCACTATATTGTGCTGCACCTTGAGGCGTGTTGCGAGCTCGTTCATAACCGTATTCTTGAAGTGTTTGCCACTGTCCGAAATCCAAACCTCGGGCACACCAAACAGTGCTGACCATTCCATGATGGCGTCGACTGCAACTTGGCTTGTAGGGGTGTCGCAACCAATAGTCGGCAATAGTGAGTGAGATCGTCCTTGAGCACCAGGACATACTTTGGTCCGCTTCGGGACTCTCCCATAAATAGGAAGTCGAAGTGCAGGCCTTCGTTACGCTGCGTCCAAGCATACTGCTGAGATCTTTGAATGACCCTTCCACCCCGAATGTGCGGGCACAGCAAGCAGGTCTACATCCATGCCGTGAGCTTTGTTTCAAGCTCGCGGATGTAGAATAGCTTTCGAAGATGAATTGCCATGGCATGATGGCCACAGAGTCCCATGCTACCGCAATGTGCCACGATGAACAGCGCGTGAGGAGGTCGTCAGCGTCGTCAGAGATCCAGATCATTGGTCTGTGCGCACCCCGCCGTCGCCGATCGTAGTGAGTTGCGGGTGTGTAGACTGATCCTGGGCGTCCTAGATTGCGGCGAGGTCCGGCCAGATGCAGTCCTCGTCGTCTAGCGGACGTAGCTTCGCCTCCGGCGGTGTGTACACATGCTTGGGTGCCGTTCGCTATTTCTAATGGATCCATTTACGCAGAGCGCGAGCATACTGTCGAGAGTCGCAGCGTCGGAAAACATAGTGTCGGAACCTGGGCGGATGCGTCAAGCGGAGTCGTCGCACTTTTGCCTCCATGGGCTGCGGAATACCCCAACGGCTCATGAGATCAGCCCATAGATTGTGCACACCGACGACATGTTGTATCACATAGCGGTACTGGCCAATCATGTCGGCCCATCGAATCAACTTCTCGCGCGTGTGCGCCTTGATTTCGTCGTCGGGGGCGAAGACTCGGATGAGATTCTTGTGATCGCAGAACATTTGGAAACCCTTGGGGCGCAACAACAGGTATTTCAGCGTATCGCATGCGCACGCGATGGGATAACCTTCCTTTTCAATAACAGACCAGTTGATCTGTGTCTTGTCGACACAGATCAGTCGATAATTTTCAAAATGAATAATATCATTGCAAAAGCACCGAAGAGGTTGTATCTCTGGAATTTGATGAAATATCCGGAAGGTCGGTTGATGCGTTCGACCACTGTAAGTTTTAGTATAGACTGGATTGGCCAGCTGGCTACCCCAGTCAGTCTTTCATTTGCTTCCGAGTGCTCAATATTTTACACCACAAGCTTTGCCCGGGAGTCCACTGTGTTCATTGTTTGGTGTACCTGAGTGCCCGGGAGACGCCACAGCTCAACACAATGCACCGCACGGTATCATCATGGTCGTAAACGTTGCTTCAGCGCCTACGCGTGCATGCGGTCTCGGATTAGCCGTCCCTCGAGGAGTGCCTTCATGACTACGGCGAGCTCGCGAAGAAGACAAAGGACTTGGCCTGTTACAACAATCCTGTCATCGACAAAGTTACGGAGGAAGGTGGCGACGCGGCCTTTAAAGAATTCCAAACTTCACTTCGGAGGAGTTTGACACGATGTGGACTGTTGTCGAACCCACCATGGTCGTGCGTTGGTCCGATGGACAAGATCGCAAGTTTGTCACGCACGACCCGCGAGATGCGCTCTTCATGACCTTAGTCGTCTTGAAGTAATACCAAATCTGGAAAAAGCACGGGCTTGCAATCAGCCTCTGGGCAACTACGTTCGAGAAAATGGCCATGCGCGTCATCAGTATCGTCGAACCGAGACTCTACGAGCACTTTGTCAAAGCCCCTGCAATGGATCACACCATCTCGCGCTGTCGTGTGTAGACACGCACCTTTCGTGACTTTACATACGCTTTGTACGCCACCGACGCTAAGTATCAGCCCTAACAACGACCGTAAGGATCAGCCCTAACAGCGACCGTTTTGACGCTTTGCGGAAAAATAGCACTTCTTCAGCGGAAAACATAAGCTCAACGGACTCAAGATCGGAGCGTCAGTGTTGCCCCAAGGTGTGCTGATCGGTATGAGCTCTCACGAACCTGGTTCCGTGTCAGACTTGACGCTGTTCCGGTCTCGCATCGACGTGCATTTGGAACCCTACGGATCCGTTAAGATCAGTCGGCAATCAAAGACAACGGCGAGCCGTTTTAAGCGCACCCTGGCCACTGGGCCATGCTGGTTGACAAGGGTTACATCGAGCTTACTGAGGACGTGCGCGCTGTCCATCCGAAGAAAAAGTCAGTGAATGGGACGCTCAATCGCAATGACCTTGACCGCAACGTCGATGTGTCGTCCGACCGCGTCATACTCTAGAACTTTTATGGTCGCGTCTGTCGCATATGGAACATTTCCTACTTGACGTACTTATGGTCAACCAAGTTCTATGATTCTCTACAGCGGCTTACCTATGCCCTGACCAACTTCCACGTAGTTTTGCTGCCGCTCCGCCAAGGCGATCACGATGTGTACCGTTCGGTCCTCGCCCGGTACGCTCGCGTGGCTGAGGAGAAGAAGACGAACAAAACGATCAAACAACGCCACTAGTCAGCGTCGCGCTGTGTGCATGGCATCCCAGTCGTTGTGCTCTGCCGTCGTTGCCCGCATTGGCTCGTTGTTGGTTCCCCTTTTCGCCCGTCGTTGAAATGAATAATCAAGACATTGAAGTTGGATGTGCATAGGATTTTTGGACCTATCTATGTGTTATTGAGCCCAAATGTAAGGCATAGTGTTCCTCCTCCATGGCTCGTTGATGTTACAATATGAGTGCATTATGTGAATAATTTCTTTATACAGTACTTGAATTTCAGACTCTTTTGTTCAGGGTGGAAAAATGGTCAGATCAGCACAATTCATCCGAACGAAGGAGATATTGGATATATCTCGGTCATTGCTCAGCCGTACAGTGACAAAGAACGCAATTTTTTAATGTTATCCTTCGTTTTCCGTCAGGTGCATACACAAATCGAACAAAACTGAGCGGTTTGTTGCAAGTTGAATCAATTGGAGGGAAATCAACGAGAATTTACAATCCGCGAAGGCATCCGAGGGACCTTCATTCGTATCTCACAAGCCAGATTGCCATTCCTTTTGAAATTTTGTATGCTTTTTGAGCTCACTGGCATAAAAAAACCATTCATTGAAAGTATTACTTGAGAAACAATAACCTGTAAGATGTGTTACACGAAACTTCGCTGTCAATGCAATTTCCACAGCGACAAATTATACCCTCTATAAATTCATAGAACAAATTTTCGGAAGGTATTATATTCGTGTAAGTGTGGTGTAGACAAAATAATTTTCGGAAGGTATTATATTCGTGTAAGTGTGGTGTAGACAAAATACCTCTTTGGACTAATACCTTGTTATGTGCTCTCATCCATTCGAGAGGGTGACCACCATCAGCGACGACGACTACGATAACATTAGTACATTCGGCAAGAGCTGCCTAGAACGTTAACCAAAGAAGAGCGTTTGGATATTCTTCGTCTTCATTGCGAATTTCGACCGAACAATGCTCCCGATGTGTCTCCTTCGATTACTCGCCTTCTCGGAAGGAGTCACAAAGTCGTCAAGGACGTCTGGTCCGAGTACTTGCGAACAAAATCCGTTGTGGCTGTCCCACTGCCATCCAACAACAAGCAAAGACCCACGCGCACACTTCGCACACACGCAGTCACGTCACTGGTCCGGCAATTCATACGAGCACGCAGCAAGATACGTGTTCGCACCGTGCGAAAGACATTCTTGCTCTACTTCTCGAGTCCAACGTCATCAAATTCGATACGAGCGACAAACCCAGCATGGCAACCTGTTGAAGGTTGGTTTAGATGTACCTCGAGAGACTGGGTTTCAAACGTGGAAAACGACGTGGCCAGGTTTCTTACAGTGTTTCAAGTGCGCATGCTGCGGCTCGTGATATATACGACGAACGAATGGCAAGACTGAACCCTTCAACACCGGTCGTGTATCTCGATGAGAGCTATATTCACCACCATTACACCCGCCACCACGACAGCCTCTACGACCCATACCACAACGCGCCACCAAAGGCGAAGCAGAAGGGTCGGCGCCAGTGCTTTATCGCCGGAATCATGGCATCCAATGACGGCGACTCCCACTTGGTGGCTCTAAACAAGTTCGAGGGAGGAAAAAAGCGAAAACATGACCACAAAGATTACCATGGAATGTTCGATCACGCATACTTCGTCAAGTGGTTCGCGGGTGCCATGGCCAGCGTTGAGGCCCAAGGCAAGTCAGGTGTCGTCTTTGCCATGGATAACGCAAAGTGTACCATAGGGTTTGCCGTCAGACACCCCTAATGTTACGTGGCGCAAGGCTGAATTGCTTTTGGCCTGTCAGCGCAATGGTGTGGATGTTGAGAGAGTGTTGGTGGATTGCGTCGATCCGATCGTCGTCACCGTGGCCCGTGCACGTGGGCATGACGTGTTGTTTACCCCGCCACATCACTCGGATCTCCAACCTATAGATATGGTTTGGGCAAAAGTGAAACGGGATGTCGGTGTGCAGTATAACGTGGACACGTCGTTTGCTGAGGTCAGGAAACGTCTTGACGATGCCTTCGCGCAGCGTCCCCCTACTGTGATACGGAATTGCATTCAGCATTGTGAGAAACTTGTGGCGAATCTGCATGACGTGCTTGTTGCAAACGACAACGATGTCGAAAATGAAGATCCTACCTCGGAATCTTCGTTAAGCACGAGCGGCAGTGATGTGGATGGATAGGATAACCTTTGAATACCTTGTGCATCTAAAAAATTATATTGCCAACGAGTATTTGTAAGATAGTTTGATTTCGTTCTGAACCAAATGGACTACTGTCAAAAGGAATATATTCACGCAACCCTAACCTTGGTCCCCTGGATGCCTTCGCGGACTGTTGTTGTTGAAGTGGGTCGTCTATTAAAATAGATGCGTAAACTACGCTGAATAGAATTGTCGGACTCTCTTCGCGGACTGTTAATTTGGTGACCTATTGGACAATTCAACTACCAGTATCCCTAAAGAGGAGAAACACAGACTGAATGAAGACATTACCGCCTCACAGCCCCGACGACGGTCCAGCATGCGAAAGTATTCATCGTAGTACTCTCTGTCGCCATTGGGAGAACCCACACAACGCAATATATCTCAATAACGGACTTGACCACAATCGTTACTTCAGAATTTCATGAATATATATTGATATGATTTTCTATTCACTGATATTTTGAGATCCGACAGATAAATGTAACTTCGCATTGATTGGTCCACCAAACACGAGAAATCTATTTTAAGAACCTCCAAACGTCACAACTCCTGCACACCCGTGGCCATCATCGACCATGGTGAGCGATGGACTCCCCCGCCAGACTGGAAGGCCAGGCCGCTCCAACATAGGTCATGCTGGCAAGACTATCTCAACACCAGCGCATGCCACGAGCATCGTGCGTAGCGAAGACTTGGAACGTATCAGGCTCAACTCTACAATTCTCACGGACGAAGACCTTGCTCGCCTTGCCAAAGAAAGCGAGCAAACAAAAGTTGCGTCGCGGGCACTGGCCCAGGACCGCAAGAACCGCATGGTGGAAAAGGAACTTCAAGTGCGGGCGCGCCGAGAACAATATGCGACACAAATGGAGCTCGATGCCGAACGCACCTCGGTCTTGACGAAAGCCGACCTGCAGCGCGTGGAACATCTCGACGACGTCAAGCACATCCAAAGCCTCGTGGCCAAGGCAATTGCAGCGACGGGTTGTGACGCCCAGAGACTGGAGAAAGAAGAAACGCGTCAATTTGAAGCGTCCTACAACCAGCGCATTGAGCGGGTGATGGAGAGTGACCGGATTGCGGAGCTCCGGGAGCGCGAACGGGCGGCCGGGGAGGCCCGCGAAAAACGTGTGGATGCCCGAAAAATGCTCGAAGGTTTGTACAAAGAACATACGAACTGGGTAGTCAGGAGGTATATGGATGCACAGGACAAATCAACGAGCGATTAAAGCAACAGATTCGCGAAGAGGAAGCGAAAGCCATCGAGGCAAAGAAGATTCTCATGGTATACAAGCAGTACGAAATCGAAGAAGAAGCCAAGGTCGCCGCTCATCGGGTAGGGGGTTACCTTTAAGCGTGATCGATTCTGGACTGGACGGTGTCATCGTTTAGGTTCAAGTTCAAGCAACGATTGCCCAAATCGCCGCCACCAACGCAGACATCAAGGCAATGAAAGCTGAGGCCGCGCGACGAGAAGTACGTTGTAAATAGCCCATTCGTTGTCAGGATGACCACCCCAGGCTCATGAAGAGCAAGTCGCCGCGCGTTACCTTCGAGAAAAGGCCAAAGAAGAGGAACGTCAGCAGCATGAGCGGGAAGCTATCAAGAAATCCAAGGAACTGCGGGTGGCAAAGTTACGAGCGCAACAGGAGAAGGCGCAGGACAAGCGGATGGCTCAGGACGAGTTCAAGGCGAAGAAAGCCTTTGAAACGAACGAAAAGGCAATGCGGCAAAAAGAGGCCGACGACCGAACCAAAAAGCGCGAGATGATGGAAACCATCGATCGCGAACGAAAGCAGCAGGAAGCGTTCAAGGCGGCTGAGAGAGACGCAATGGTGGCCCAAGAGCGGCTCGTCGATCATGTCGCCCACTGCATCGAACAAGAGGTAGGGTGTTTTTCGTGTGTTTCGCATGGGAATGACGCCGGCCATGGGCATAGAATCATGCCAAGCGCATGGCGGCGCGGGCACGGGAACAAGAAGCCCACGCGACGTACATTGAGAAACTGAACCAACAATTCCAAGACAATGCGATGCGACGGAAGAATAAGGCGGCGCTCGAGACCAACGAAAACGCGGCGCAAGTCAAGAAGGCCGCCAAAGAAGCCATCATCGTCGACAAGATCCGCCGAGACGCGATTCAAAAGTTAGAAAAGCAAGGTGTCCCCGCTGACTACTTGCGGCCCCTCCAAAAACTCCACGGGCGCAGTCGCAGCACCACGTCGTAGTCCATTAAACCTCAAATGCCAACGAAACATGTATTCCAAAGTTGATAAAAGCCAGTTGTGCCGCCCGGCCCGGCCGTGGCCATGTCGCTGAGTTCATTTCATTCTTTAGAGCAGAACGGAACCAAGAGTTCATGGCGACGCAGATAAAACGTTGGGACCCATAAACTAGAGCTGCTCTCAATTGTCCGTGGCCTCCAGCAAGCAGCGTTTGCTGTACAGAGGCCGAATGGATGGCCCCTAGGGACTTCGGGTAAAATGTAGCTTCGCTTGGGCGTTGTCGTAAGTGTGCCCATCACCTGCAGGGATCTGCTACAGCGGCAGCAGGAGCACACGCAACTTGCTGCATCCAGTCATTGCAATGTGCCCTCAAGGACTCGTGTTGTGGCGGCGACTTTGGCGGAAGGCGTCGTGCTCTGATTTCCATGCGATTGTCGAATCGATGACATTGGACAATAATTTATTACAAAATAGAATTATATCAATGGAGCAATTAATATATACCATGGACGCGAACAAAACGAATAAATACGACCAACGAACGACGGTGTGCGACGTCGACAAAGCTGGCCCTTACGGCGCATCGTCCAGCAGCGACGAGTACTTGGTTTCGGGCTGCTCTTGAGCTGGCGATGGGTCGTTGTAGTAGTTGTTCGAGGCGGGCGAGTCACTGTTGCTGGGCTGGGCGAATGCATTCCACGACGGCGACGACGGATGGGTGGCAAATTCGCTATCATTGTGTTGCTGAGGTTGCTGAAGGTGGCTCGTCGATGCATGGTTCATGCGGTACGATGTAAGGGGGGGCACCGGCTCGCTCGCGCTTCGGAATGCACGCGTCATGGTAGGATGATGCCGTCCTCCTTGGTCGTCGCGGCCTTGTTGATGCAGCATTTGCTGCTGTTGAGGATTCTGTCTCGTGGGGATGCTATCGATGTTGTAGAGGAGCCAGTCGAACCACTGCTCGTTGCCGGGACCGTTGAGCGAGCGCTGTTGTGCTAGTGGCGGGTTGTGCAGTTGCGGCGACTGGAAAGGAATTTGGTCGTCACGCCCTCGGGCACCACAACTCAGGCTGATGTTTTGAAATGCGCGACTGGCTTCCGTGGTCGGCGTCGGCTGTTGGGACAGCGACTGCTGCTGGGATGGATGGTTGGCAGGAATTGTGATCGTTGGAAATGGGTAGCAGGTGGGCGGGTTCGAGTGTCGGTCGGCAGTCATCATTGCACGAGGAGCAGCGTCGTAGGCATCATTGGACATGCGATGCTGAAACAAGTTCACCGAGGTCGATTGGGGGGTGCTCGGTTCTTCCTTCTTCGGCTGGTACGACGAAGGGGGGCTGCCAAATGATCCCATCATGGGCCGAACGAACGAAGACGCTTTGTCAAAGTGACCAATGTCGTTGGGGAGATGGTTTTCACTGTCGCCGCCGTCGTCGCCATCGTCGTGGACGTCTGCGGACAGCTTTGGGTTGGTCTCACGCGAATCGTCCATCTTTTGCAGCCTGCGAAAGTACTTTTGTGCATGCGTCCGCGTCTGGAGTACTGTGCGCGTCCCGACTGCCTTGGAGATTTTGCGCCATCGATTCAAAACGCCGTGAGGGTACTGATGCAGCCCTTCCACAAATCGATTGTGCTCTTCGTTTGACCACCGTCCCGAGTGAAACAGAACGCCGGACGGAATGTTTTTTGTCCGAAGCTGCTTCTGTGTATCGTTATTGCCGATCTCTGGGAACGACGTGGCGTTCATGATCCCGTGCGTCACTTCGTACGATGTTCCCATGTCGGCAGCCGAATTGGAGCGGGGGAGACAGCTCCCCGCACTCGCCATTGCGGGGCCACGGTGCATCGAGGCAGACGGCGACAGATGCGAGTGCTGGTGGCGCGGATATGCCGCGCCAAGTACAGCACCGCCAAACAAGTCGCTGGGAGTCGCGTCTTTGCGATATGGCATGAGGTCCATGGAGGGAAAGCTGTTGCTGCGACCCACACGACCGCTTACATCGTGAAGGTACGGCCATGGCTTCACCTGCTGTTGAAAATGCTGCGACTTGTCCATGAACCGGTCGTAGTTGTTCGACGTTGCTGTGGGGTCGTCGTGCATGGAAGGCGCCGACCCCTCAAAAGTCGATCGGTCGTACTCGTCATGGCTGTACATCATGTGGGGCGGCGCACTCACGTTCGTTGCAGCGGCGCCGTCATGGAACGCCGAATTCGCGTTTCCATCGACGGATCCTGCAGGCGACGAAAAGTGGGAGAGGAACCGTATCGACGAGTCGTTATCCCGGCCGCTCGTGGCTGCTCCGGAGGGCGTGCCGAGGGCGCTCGTGCTGGCGGTGGTGCTCTCCATCCTCATAAGATACTTGCCAACTCGTTGCGAGATGGTAGCTTTGGAGGAGTCGGCTGCTGTTGACAAAATGAAGAGTGCCACTTACCCACTGCCGTATGATATTTCGAACCGAAGTTCGAAGGACCGGACCAGCTAAGTACTGAGCCCAAGTGCCATTTTGTTCCGACACTACGGCGGCGGCGCCGCGGCATCGTTGAATGGTGGCTGCTGCAAGCGTCATTGCCTCGGCAGTCTTCTACGGTCGCCCCCTCTAAGCGCATGGACTTACTGCATTAAGAGCAAAGTTTATTGTGCTTTTTCAGTGCGAAGTGCTGATTGTATCATCGCACTGGCCACACCACCACGTGGTGCGGCTTTGTCTCGTACTGGGGCAGTTCCAACTTGTGGCAAGGCAATTTACCAACTCAAACGGGGTAAAGCGCAAAACGTGGGGTAATTTTTAACGTTGTCGATGTGTGCGGTTGCTTCGGGGGTCGGCAGGTGCGGACCAAGTGAGTTGCCACCAGAGTGTCCACATGGTGGACAACAGTCTTCACCGCTTCGGACGCTCCCTCGCTGGACAACCACCCCGTCGGTCGGCCTTTAGATGGTGGCTTGGTCAAACACTTTCTTCTTCACAGGCCATGCGAGGGCTGACATTGTCACCACAACCCGCCACTGGTGCATGTCCCAACATCCTGCGCCTTGGCCACGGGAACTCAGCCACATTCGGACGGGACCCTCCGCAGAAACACAAACATTCAGTTAGAGAGATTGGTCGTGCAAGTTTGGGTGTCTGCCGACGCCACTTGCCGCCCAACCCCGAGAGACGTTGGCGACTTCAACAAGGCCTTGACCATGGTGCGGCTCGCCTCGCCTCCGCGACGTGCTTCTCCCCTATTCTCCACTGATCTTCGAACTTCGATTCATGGACTTGGGGGTGGGCCAATAAGCGCTCAGGGCGACTAAAATACCCTAAATCTATTGTTTGCCGCCTTCATCGCAACTTTTGTCACGTCGACCGTGCGGCCCACCTTATCTTGAAGAGCCGCAGGCAGATACAATTGTCGTACCACAGTTGCAACCTTGTTTTTACTCAAACTTGACGTGGACACGATCCTTGTGAATCTTGATGTCAGACCATAGTGGAGGTGCAACCATCGATTTCAATGAGATACACTGATATAAGGGAATTCAAATGTTTGCGGTCGCAGTGGGTCAACTCAAAAAGAATGTGGTTGCGCCACTCGGGGGCACGTGAAAGAGACGCGGCTGGTTCTGGTCGAGGCCGTTCGTCTCCCTCTGTGTGGCCGCCGGTCGATTGGGACCACGATTTCACCAGTGTTGGAATAGAAATTCGCTCCAACATATCGCCACATCCGCTCTGGGGCATCGTCCAGTCCACAGAGTATCCTCTGGGCAGAAGCCATGTTTTTGCATACTCCAGCATCTTTCCATCCGAAACATCGTTGAAACCAGTTTGTCTCTGTGGGGTAGAAAACTCCCCCGCTCGTTCGACGCGCTCGGTCGTTGGCGCGTGCATAGGACAGGGCAGGTCAGCCCACCTCTCCGTCCCCATCCACATCTCGTTGATGCGACGCACTGCTTGCGCCAGGGTTCACGGCACCAACATGAATTCCACGACAAGTTACTCACGGACCCATCGTAGCCGAACAAACCTTTGCTCCCCGTCGCCTCTCTCGCATTGCGTCGTTGCGGCGCTTGACAAAACCGTCCGTGTGTCAACAAATCGTTGTTTGTAGTGTCGACTCCACGAGATGAAGATTATTTGTAGGCTTTGGCAAGATTATCCGGTTGAGAAATACGGATAATGTATTCCACTAGAACTTGGTCGAAGGATGAACTGGTTGGAGAAAGGATGCGTCCGCGCCGCGCCGGCCTTCAAACGACGGACGCCCAAGCAGGAACTGATCAGTAATATGCTTCGCCAAGGTCACTTGTCTCATCGTTCGGCCAGCAAGCTGTTTGGAGCTCCCAAATTGGCCAACCTTGAGGTACAAACGTGCGGCTACAACACGGTTTGCAATGCAGCCCCTTGATTCACTCCTTCGGGTGGGTCTTTAGCCGCTTGGTGCCACAGAAATGTCCGGCAAAGAAAAACTGGAAGCATTTGCTTTGCAGGAGTCACACTACCGCTTTCGACCGAGCATCTTGCTTCCTTTGGCATCCTGCGCCAGCACCACGTTTGGTTTGATATGATGTTGTGTTGTCCCTTGACTGACCAGGGGTTGATATTGCAGGACATGTCTTGGGTACAGTGTCGCCGCAATTGAGTAGGTCGTACGCCGCAGGTGTCAAGTTGGCAATCGGCGACTACTACAACGATCAGATTCGAGAAATCTACGCCGAGATGCCCGACTATCCCGAAGCAGTTCCTTTGAAGGAGGTGCGTGCGAATTGAGTCGATGCTATGCCACCTCATCTTCACTAACGAACAGCTCTTCAAATCGTTGCGCGATGCCTCCCTTGCTGATGTTGAACGCCTGTTTCCTTCAATCGAGGTCCAAGCCAATGCGTTAATGCGCTACGTCACCAAAACAATTTCTAGGCGGCCAAGGAGGACTCGGTGGTCCAATTCGCCAAGACAATCACTCAAGCATTGTTGCGTCCTGCAGCAAGTGTGTAGAATTACCATTTGAATCCACGGTTCCAGTCATGTTGCACACGTGGGCCAAAGTTCCATTTCCACGTCCTTGGCATCCCTTGCTCATCGAACTTGATGTTATTCAGTGTTCCATGTCCCTCTGCACGGCTGGGATATCATTGCAAAGTATTTCTAAACCACATTCGTTCTCATGGCTCCAAAAGTGCAGATGTCCAGTCCGCACTCCCAGACGTAGCCATGGCATCATCGACGTCCAATAAAATTGAACAATGTGGTTGCCACAACTACTGATCGTCCACGAGTGCGGCGTTGTGTTGAAAGACCAAAGTTCGGACGTGCAGTGTAAGAAGGTTACGACTTGGTACGCCTTCGACCACGAACGTCTCAATAATGCGAGCATAGGTACGCAAAAGGCGCTTACACCCACACGTTGTCGTGGGGGTTCTCGATGTATACCCACAGACAGAGCACGCTGAGCACAATCGCAAGGGAGAAACTCCCGACGACGTTGCCTTGGTCCGTCAACGCCTTGTGGCTCCATCCAAAGTACGTTTGGAGACTCATGCGTACCATCGGGCCGAGCTGGCTGGCCGTGAAGAGACCCAAAAACATGGACCCGAACAGCAGCGGCGTTCCGTGAGTCGTCTCGGCGCTGTTGTACCCGACGAAGAAGCGCACGATGCTCCAGATCACGCCAAACACCATCGCGAAAAACACAAGGATGTTGGGGAGTTCCATCGTCGAGTTGCCGCCGAGCGCACCAGTGTTGGCCCACGCAGCTTCTTTGTCCGTGATCTAGACGCACGGCGTCAACACGTTATTCCCGAATTTCCGTCATACCTTCCAGTAAATCGCGTCGATCACGGCCAACACATGCACATATGCGTACGAGAACCACGTTTGCTGGCTGCGAAGGACGTCGTTATTATCCACAGTGCGGTTCATCATGGCCGTCAGCACCGACTGCACCACGATCTTGGGGACGAGCGCCACCAGCAACCTACACCGACCGCCGCAGGATCAATCAACTTCATTGAAGGAGGTAGCACCCAATACGTGGAAAGGCCTTCGTACTTGCACAGTGGTAGACACCAGCAGGACAACTCAGCAAACCATGCATGCCATGCAGCCAAAATCCAGCACGACAGAGCCACTTACCGCAGGCCAGCCGTATAGATGGGGGCATTGCCAGAGAATAAAAAGTAACCCGTGATGTAGAAAAAGAAGAGCGCGGGGAACGAGCCGATGGGATAGATGGTCAAGTTCATGAAGAAGACCCAGCGCATAAACCCATTGACTTTGCGCGGCGGTGGCAGTTCGATGTTGGTCGGGGGTTTCCACGTTGGATCGATGAGCGATTTTTTCCGACGCAAGAAGATCTGAAAGTTGCCCTTGGCCCACCGCTTGCGCTGCGCCAAACTCGCTGCGACCGTCTCGGGGACAGCACCTTCCGCGAGTCGGATGCGTTCGCTCTCTTCGCCTTCAAAATCCTTGCGGAAGTACAGACCCTTCCATCCCTTGTCGATCATGAGCTTGCCCGTGAACGCATCTTCCGTCAGCGACCCGTACGCAATCCCGCACACAGAATCCAATGCAGACCGACGAAAGATCGCGTTCGTCCCGGCAAACGACGCGCACTCATAGCCGTCCATCCCAGTCTGAGCCGAATCGAAAAAGGTCGAGTTGCGATGGCCACAGGGATCGCCCAGCCGCAGCTGCAAACAGTCTTCAAAGTACTGTGGGGTCTGAACGTAGCTACATTTTCCAAAGGGATGTCAGCACCATGGACGACATGGGGCGCACGAACGAGCACCGCCATCGATTCTTCCATGACATACCCGACTTGGTTGTTCGAGACATCGTCATTGTAATGGTCACGAAGGGCCAGGGCGTACTGAGCCGCTTCTTGCGTTCCGACAGACGTGCGACGACCCATAGCCTTCTTGCACCTGCATCGTTGTATCAGTACGAGCATCGTTTATGCACTTCACAAACCCAGAGCAAGTGCCAGATTTCATGTTCACTTTGCCGCCGCACGTCGTGCAAGTCGTCCGGTTGACCTTTGACGTGCGCGTTTGGCGGCGGTGGACTTGGGAATGGACGTGGTTCGATGCGACGAAGCAGTCGTTCGAGCAGTATGAAATGGTTGCCTCGGGCACCCCAGCTTGGACACACAACGTGCACGTGATCTTGGCAATGTCGGAGCACCCTGGCGCGGAGCAGCGGAACGTCTTGGTGGACGCGGGCGAGTCAAAGAAGAAAGGCAAAGTCGCTTGGATAAACATCGGGTGTGGCTTCATGTCGTTGTCGAGAATGATCGCGTATCGACCGCTCGCGCCTTCGTTGTACAGGACGTTGTTGATGTTGCCGGCTAGCCATGGGTATCACTTGAAGTTTCTCGTTCCGTAGGTACGAGAAAATTACCCTTGGAATGATGCGTTGGAGGCTTGAAGCGGCCGACGTAAGTGACACGAGGCAGTCCCGCATACCGGTAATCGTAGTCGTCGCGCTCCGATCCGATCGCACAGTCCAGACGGTCAGCAACCTATGGCGTTTACCGTCATGAAGTCTATAGTCGAACACGCGATTTGAATCCGTCTATCGTACCCGAGGATTCGAAGGCGTCGGCATCTTGACCGTTGTGTGCGACTGGCGCCATTCGTTCACTTCCATTTCGACGGCACGGGTGTACCCAATGCCTTGGCCTTCGCCGTCCAAGTCGAGCACGCGCTCGTACATGAAATGCGCCAGCTCATACCTGTCGGCACAACATTGTGAGATGCCTCTGGTCACACTCTAGCAGTACCGGACGTCGCCAGCGTTTTCAATCACGCCTTTGTTCACGATGACTTCGGGGATGGGGTTGCCTGGTGTGAATTTGGTCTTGAACCCGCCGTCGTCGCAAATGTACACGTGGAGCTTCTCGCAGGGGTAGTCGAGCTTCATGATGGCTTCGAGCGTCGCCATCGTGTCTTCCGCAGGCTCGGCATAGTGGCACAACATGATGTCGACTGTCGGCCACTACGAACAAGCGCTTCAGGAACAGCTCCAAGGTCGTCCACACGTAGACGCACCTTGTCCTGAGGAAACGGTGGGTTGAAGTCGCGAAGGTAATGCGCGCCACGACGCACTGGCTTCCACATGCCAAGATAGTACAACGCGCCGAGCAAGATCGAGATGAATTCGGCAAAGTAAAAGCAAAAGTACGACACCCAGTGCGCCAGCGTCGGTTCGCGAAAGCACTGAACGCCAAGCATGCCGGCTTGCCGCTTGTAGAACTGGGGCGGGTTCCACATCCCGTTGAACGGTTGTTCTCCACAACTAGATGTTCCAGTGCACATGAGTGGGGGGATGTGCGAATGGAGGCTCTTTGGCTCGCATACCTGGGCTTCTCCTCTGGAACAAACTTCCTGAAAATCTCGGTGCAGTTGGCCGTACGCAGTTTCAAATCACACGGTTCAATGCCAAGGGGAAACCAGAGCACGATGCCGGCGAGTTCGATGAGCGCCGTAATGAGAAAGAGAAAGTAAAACACGCGATAACTGCAGCGAGGCACTTGAGATGATGGATGTATTTGGAGGCGAACAAAAGGATGGGAATGCGTACCTCGTGCGACCCTTCATCACGTACTCGCGAACGTTGGGCAAATGACGCTTGACGACGTTGCCTGCGTCGTTGGTCATGATCGTTTCTTCGAGCGCGTCGAACCACATGTTGAACTCGGCGTCCGTTTCGGGGCAAACGAGCCACTTGCGGATCTTCGTGTGGATCACGAGACCCTTGGATGGGAGATCCAAACGGTCGCTTTGCTCAAGCTTGAACGCTGTGCGAAGGTCGATCGACCCGATGCAGAGCTCGGGGTTCCGCGAGTTGAAGTACTTGCGCGCATCGACAGGTTCGTGGAAATAGTAGATCTTTTGACCTTCCAAGCAGAAGAAGCGTCGACGCCAGCTCTTAGCACCCGGTCCTAATAGAGTGCAATTCCATCGTGAGATTTGTGGAAGACGGTTCGTCGCTGTACCTCGAATGACACGAGTCCCTTGCTTGTGCATCCACCCAAACACACGAATCGTGTTCTCATCTGTGTCATCCTCCACCGGCAATGCCATGTTTGGCGTGTCGCTGTTCATGTATTCCGCGTTGGACGGGTTGCTGTCGCCGTGGACGAGCTTTTGATGTGCCGCCATCGGCAATCGATCGACCACGTTGGGTTGTGGGTGCGAGGTCCAGACTGAGTCCATCGCCAGGCGTCGAACGATAGCACCTGATTTTGTCGAATAATTCTTCAATTTGTAACCAATCACAGGTGACGACATCAATCCGCTCCACGTACTTGAATATTGTATCAAGTCAGCAATAAAAAGCAGAATTTGCATTCACCGATGTGCGTTTCCTGCACCAAAATCGATATTTCTGTGCGTTTTACCATCTGCCTTGTCGTATCGAGTGCGTTTTCTGTCCTTACACTGACCCCGTGAGTTACAAGTGCGCCAACCATTCTTGCCCACGGCAGATCCTGTAGTGGAACATGACAGGCAAGCTCCCAGCATCTTCCTTCGACATGGCGACCGAAACTCAAGAGTCTGCGAAACTCTGGCCAATATGTACCCTTGACTAGGGAGCTTCTGTCCTCGGGAAGCAACGTGAATTCTTTGTACAATGTGCATTTATACCCATACAAGTGAATGGAGATTTCTCGAATTTCACAATGGATCGTAGCGGAAGGCGGGAGGGCTTTTCCTGCCCGAAGACGCGGATTCATTCGAGAAAAGAATGTTGCGACGCATTTCCCCCCTTGTAGTGTATCGCCAATTGCATCTACGACAGGCCAACGCGGCTGGCCTCCTCGGAAGAACGCCCCTCTTTCCAAGTACTCCGTATTTGCGAAGTTGAGAATATGGTTGTACGGCTCCTAGAATAAGTACATACTAGTATGAGCTGTAAAAATTTATTCTACAAATCCATTGTCAAGGGTGTAACGACCATATGAAAAGTAAATAAGTGTCTCAAAGCCAACCACACGACGCCATTCGATTCCGGAGGGGATTTACAGTAGTCGACACCGACGACTCACTATTTTTTTTTCTTCATAAGCTTGAACAGATATACAAATTTGGAGTTCTTAGGCGCAGAAAATTCACTCACAGAATGAATATATGCATTACCAAAGTATATTATCCTATTCAGAGTCGCCACCATCGTCACTTGAATTGTCGCTGTCATCTGATGACTCTTCATCATATGCGAGTGCATCGATTTGCACAAGATGCTCGTGCAACATCTTCAACTTCTCTTGTGCAGCACGCACACACCCTTTGATGGAGTCGGGTTTCAAGTTGGCAAATGCAGCTTCGAGGCGAACTTTAACATCGGCGAACTTGGTCATGTCCGTGTATTGCCGACCTACCTCACCCTTCACAATAGCCCACACAATTTCAATCGGCTGCAAATCCGAATGATGAGGAGGAGTGTAAACAACGCAATGCCCACGGTTCTTGGCCATTTCCACGATGACGGGCCGAACGTTTGCTTTGATGTGAGATGCCAGCATATCCCACAGCTCACTCTTGAACTCATTGCCCGTGGTCGAAATCCCATACAGTCGACATGCGTCCAACAAGACACTTTTGCGACGTCCACTCGTTGGTGTTGATTCGGGCAGGCACTTGTGGTACTTCGCGTTGTCGAGAATGATAAGAGCGTTGGTAACCCCACTTGCGTCCATTTCGTCCAGAAGGCGACCGAACCACTTGACGTAGTATGCGTGGTCAAACATGCCGTGGTAGTCTTGAGGCTCCTTTGCACGCGACTTTCCACCGGTAAAAATATCGAGCGCCATGACCTTGCTGACCAATGTGGGGGAGTCGAGTATCCCGGCAACGAAGCAGTAACGACGACCCTTGTGCTTCTCCTTGCTCTGAACGTCGTGGTCATCGGACGGGTCAAAGAGGTCTTGATGGTGGGACTTGTAGTGATGGTGAATATATGATTCGTCGGTATACACGACATTCGGCCGAGTTGGAGCAGTCGAGTGTGGATGCATCAGTTTGACATACGTGTCCCGCGCAAGGGCATTGGCCGTGGAGAGGTGGTACGTCGACGTTCCCTTGCGGCTGCCACGTTTGTACCCTTGCGCCTTCAAGAACCTCTGCACCGCACGATAGCTTGCAGCGTACTGCTTCTTGTCTTCCACATCGAAGTCGATGACATACATCTCCTTCAGGTACATCATGACGTCGACAGAGGTTTGCGTGTCCGCGTTGAACGACGACCGCGGACAAACTGTTGAACCATCTGGATAACCAGCTTGGTGCGTGGCACTTTGGTGTTGTGCACTGCAAAAGGTATAGATCAATTGAAATGAAAATCAAGTTGAATGTACATTAGGTTGTCGATTAGAAGTCTTCAGGGCTATTGTCATCATCATGACACCTAGAAATACGACGCCTGTTCAGAGACGGTGTTGGCACCTGGAGTCCCAATCGTCTGGCTCGTCGAATCTTGTAGGCAGCTTGATTGCGGCTCTTTTTTCGCCTACTCGCATCCGACATGGCGCTGTATCGAGCAAGAACACCCTTGTAGTAAATGCCGTCTTCGCCACGTAGAGGCATCCAACCAGCACGGACATTCGTTAACGCACAACGCATTCGTGATATCATGTCGTAGTTGGACTGGTTCCACTGAAAGTCGTGTACATGATGCTCCACAGCATACAGATGCGGCCAAAATAGTTCTCAACAAGAACACGATCTGAGGATACCCTTGAATTTCGCTCGATCTCACGATGGCTCAGGACGCCTCCTCTTGGCTGCTTTTGAGGCTGAATCGATCGAATGTTGTTTTGAATTCCTTGATACCCCTTGTTGACGAGTACAGCCCATGAATCTGGGTAATCACCTGAGCCTTCTCCGAGGTCTTCAATATCTAATTCATCATCCGTTTTCGCCATACATTGCCTCGTGCAGCGAAAGGCGTTGCATGAACATTGTACAATCCGACACAGAGCCAGGCTCGTGGTTCGACAGGTCAACAGCAAGCCCCGGTATGCAACGAACACTTCAATCTTTAGACCATAGAGCTTGTGCTTACCAGAGTAGTAATGCTTAGCCTCGTCAATGCGTCCCGTGGGTCGGAAAGATGGCTGGAACTTGACGTCCGTGCAGTACAAGGCATAAGGGTAGTTGCGAAGCAATGCCCTTTCTCCGCTTGAGAGTCCATGCTGACA